CTCTGTGCTGAAGAGGGTTCAGTGCAAAGCAGAGATGGAGGCTGAAGCAACCACAGGAATGATAAAAGGCTTGAAAACAAGTCCGGTGCAGGAGGGTCTTGTTGTGTCTACTGAAAAGAAGATTGTGGAGGGATGTGATAAGTGCTTCAGCAAATATTGAAAGGGCGTACTCTAGTAAACCATTTTCTGGGCCTACTGTGGATAGCACAAGGAGTCCTGGGCTCCATTTGCACTGAGAAGAATTCAGCTTAGATGTTAAGAGAGCAACACAGCCCCTGCACAGACCCTCACCCACTGAACAGTGCTGGGGTCACAGGCTCCTCGTTCTCTGCGCTGAGCTCAGCTCACCTGCCTTTTCTTTCCTCCCCTTGTTCCAAAGGGATCCAGGCTCTGAAGCAAGTAACCAAGAGATACGCTCGGAGGCAGAACAAATGGGTCCGAAACCGCTTCCTCAAACGTGAGTCCGATGCTGCAGCCCCACTTCACCCTTCCTGTTCTCTTGCATCTCCTCTTGGCCCTCCTCGGAACATTCCCTGCTCCCATCCAGATACAGGGGACCGATCTGTCCCCCTCCCCGTGTGCCCGCACACGCTCCCGGTGCCGGGCAAAGAGCCCAGTGGCAGCTGCCCTCCGGATTAGGAGCAGGAGCCCCTTGGCAGCTCCTCGCCTGGGCCGTGCGGGCCGCGTGGCCGGGAGCCAGCAGGACTTCCCCATCCCAGCGCCGGCCTTGGAGCAGGGCCAGGAGCAGCAGCTGGGAGCCAGGCGCTTGCTGAAAGGTGCTTGGTAGGGGCAAAACAAAACAAAACAAAAGGCGAGGAGAAACTCGAGTCAAAGACGGGCTTTGAGCTGGGTGCAAGAGCTCTCCCGGAGCCGCGCGCCCGCCGGCCGCGGCTCACCTTTCTGGTGGCAGGTGCGCTTCAGATGGTGGCTCGTTTGTGCCGACGCTGATACAAGGCAGCAGCTGCTGGGGACTCGTGCGCGGGCGCCTTTGATGGCTTTGTGCGAGCGGGCGCCCGACGGCAGGTGAGCTGCAGCCGGGTGCTCTCCGACCGCGCTGCGCCTCGCCGAGCTCCCCGCGCCGGCCGCTGCCTTGGAAACAGCCCCTCGTCGGGCCTTGGGAAGTGATGCCCCTGGCTGTGAGCTGAGCGGGGCTCCCCCGCGGCCGCACGAGCACTCACAGCTCCGCATGGAGGAGCGGAGCAGGGAGCAGCGCCGGGAGCTGCATTGGGAGATCCAGTCTCTGTGTGTGCACCTCCTCGGGTGCACAGCTCCATTTTGCTTGGTGACTTTGTGCTTGTCCTTGGGCTCTTTTGGTCTTCCGTGGCCTCCTCTGGACCGTGGCAGAGACCAAGTGTTTGCAGTTGGGCTGGGATCCCGCTGAGGATGGAGCAGTTGTGCTGGGAATCTGGTGGGGATGGAGCTCGCCGTGCTGTCCTACATGTCCTGGGATGTGACTTGCTGGGAGAATATTTCTAACAGTGATTTTACCGTTTTGTTTTGTTTCTCTAGGCCCTGGCCCTAACGTGCCCCCGGTGTATGGCTTGGAGGTGTCTGATCTCTTGAGGTGGGAGGAGGATGTGCTGAAACCAGCTCTAGAGATTGTGGAGAGCTTCATCCAGGTATTGGATAACCAGAATTAACATGTAAGCCTTGGCTGAGAAGCCTGTTACTCAGCAGTCTCCTGACCCCATAACTGGGAACTTGGCCTCTCCTGTGCGGGGGACTGTCCCTGTACATGTGTAGCCTTAGATTTAATTTACTTTCCCTGCATGAGATGTGACCCCAAAAACGAGAACTCCCCCCAATACCAAGTGCCCCATTTGTATGGTAAAACTGTAGCCTCTGACCTGCTAACCTTAGTACCTGGGTACAAAAAATCACAGCCTAAGGCCTACAAAAGAGAACACAGCCGGGGCAAGTTCGCCGAATAGAAACAGATTTGAGACATTATTTAATCTCCAGGGACGAGAGCCGCCAGCGGAGCCCGTCAGGATGGAGTGCGACGTCCACGAGAACAAGCGGAGCCATCGTGTCTGCGAGGTCTGCGACAGGGTCATCATCGGGGACCGCGAGTGGGCAGGTAGGATGTGGCCAGGTGAGGAGGGACAAACTGGGGGGCCCGGGCACAGGCTCCTCTCCGGAGCGGAGCAGCTTCCTCGGCTCTCTCTGCTTGTCCAAGTGACCCTCAGTGCAGGATTTGGGGGCTTTTCAAGGATTTTTTACAGCTTCTGTAGGAGAGCAGCCCGTTTGCAAGGCCGGAGGGGCTGCTGGAGCCCTGTCACAGCAGCCATCTGTCACACTGTCCCCATGCACTTGCTCTGCCCTCCTGCCTCACGTGGGCATCTGGATGGAGAAAGAAACTCGCAAGTGGCCGCATTTGGTCTGGGCTGCTGGTCCTTTTCCTCACTTTAGGTATTTTGTCAAACAGGACTGAACAAAAAACAAAAACATTTTGCTTTTTAAAATGGAAGTTTCTGAATGCTTTTAATGGCTCGCTTTTGCTCAAAAAAATAAAAAAAAAGCTCAGTTTTGCCTTCCCCCCCAGCCCCAGTAGATTTTAAAAGAGCTCAGTTAGAATCAAGTTAACTAATGCTGAGAACCAAAATAAACGTAGTTGAGAAACAAAAGTGGTGTAAATCTCCCCATGTTGCTCAAACACAGTATATGGAAAGATAAGGAGTGTCCGGGGTCATCAGGTTTGAATGAGTCATTTATTTTTATTGGGCCATGGAGCTGCTGAAAACATAAAGATGGAAGTTGGCTTCAAGTAGGAAGCACAGTGAGAACAGGTTGTAAATGTGGTTATTACTTTAGTGACAGTTATTGCTTCTGCTGTGCTAGTGTGGAGGTGCTTTGAAGGAACTTCACCTATTCCATAGTTAGAGCACACTGAAAGTTGACAGAGTCCAAGCTGTTCATGCCTTGAAACAGAGAAGTTTCATGGCAGAGTGGAAACTCTCCAAGACACCCCAAAAAGCTGCAGTCACAGCCATGTGTTCTCTAGGGATGTCCCAAATCCTGATAGATGGCAACATTTCTCTGGCCCTAGGCTAAGCTGTATGTTCTCTGCAGCCAGCTGAGTTTGGCTCAAATTCAGGTAGGAAAAAAATGGTGTAAAATATAAGAGCTCAAAGGGAAGTGAAAACAGTGGTGGGAGCTGAGTCAATCTGCAATCTGGTTTGTTTTCTTAAATCAAGTAGTTCTGGGAACTGCTTCTTAGTACCCCACTGGCTGTGGAAGAGTTTTACATTTTATCTAATTTTCCATTCATGGACTTAAAAGAGCAAATCTCCCCAGACACTAGCAGACATCAGTCCTTCTTCAAGCCACAGAAAGCTTTGGTGTTGCTTGCAACAAATTATAAGAGGTGAGACTATTTCAAGCAGAGGGTGACCCTACGGCAGTGTGATAAGGCAGCAGCTTTGTATGTAATTTCATCCTTAGACGGAAAGAAAGATGACTGGAAAACACCTAAGGGCCTTGATTCAACAAGCCCATGCCCTCATTTAATTAAGGCCCTGCTTGAAAAGTTTGCTCCTATAATTGCTGCTCTGATCTTTTGGAAATAGCAAAACCGCCCTGCTAAGATGATACATTGGCCTGGTTAGACAAAGCACCTTCTAGTTAGATAACACTAGTTAGATAATGTTATTTACTGCCTTAGCCATGTGATTTTTAAACAGAAATTCACCTCTTGTTGCCCCAGTATGTCAGTACAAGCTGAAGTGCCAGCTGTGTCGTGTGCCTGGGATCCTGCCTCTGTTCCAGCCAGATTCCTGCAGAAGTGCTCTTGTGGCTGGGGGCTTTTCCCTGGAATTATGCAAAAGCATAACTGTGCTCCGGGCTGCGTCCCCGTCGGCTCCGTAGGCGTGCGGGATATCCCTGGCACTGCAGTGCAGCTTGCAGACGATCCTGGCAGCGCGGGGCAGCGGGGACTTGCACAACCTCATCCTGCAACGGGCTGCCGCGTTGGTAACGTTTCCCTGCCGCTCTTCTCCCAGTGGTTGTGTCTTGGTCAGGAGCAAACACGCTGGAAGAGGCGAGGGGACAATCTGGAGTTATCTGTGGAGAACACCAGGACTGGGGGCTCTGCTGGGTGCCTGTGCACCATCCTTTCCCTGCTTAGTACAAGGTTTGAGAGGATTTTTCTGTGAGCCCTGGTGCCTTGGCCTAGCAGAAGTGTCTCAAAACCACTCGTGCCGGCTTGGGAGTTCACTCTTCTGCAGGAATGGCCTCGTGTGGGAGGATGGAAACTCTGCAGGGCACAGCGTGGGTTGGCTGTAGTGTTTCCTTCTCTGAATTCCCAGAACTAAATGCTCTGTTTGCTCTTTCCTCCAGCTCACACCCGATCCAAATCCCATCTGCACCATCTGAAGAAGAGGCAGAAGCTGGAGGCCGCCAGCCGCGCTGCGGGCAGCGACGGGGACGGTGACAGCACAGAGCCCTCGGCAGAGGACAGTGTCTCCCCTTCGCTGTAGACCCAAAAGTGCCCAGAGAAGGGAAACAGGAGCGATTCCACCTGGTGAGGAAGCTGCTGGTCCTGGGTGGCCTTGATCCCAAGCAGCAGAGTCGTGGGGCTGAGGCAGGTGTAAGTGACAGGCAAAGGCTGGAATCTGCGGCAGAGCCTCTTCATCCTGCCATGTTCCTGTGCTTCTCCAGCCCTGCTTGGAAAAGGACTGGGCCTGGGACAAGACTCTGAGGAGCATCCTCCCATGCCAGGCGTTAATCCGTGCCAGGGACGTGGCACTGTCCTTGGCATGGCAGAGTCTGTCCCGTGTGAACGCGTCGTCCTCCGAGACGGAACCACTCTGCGCTCCCCCAGCTTGGCCGGGAGCACAGCTCGGGAGCTGCCTTTATTGTGGAGAGGGTATTTTTTTTTTCTTTTATATGGAAATAAACTTGCAAGATTTTTGTGGGTGCACCTCCCTATTAAAAGGTGCAGCTCTGGGATTTCTCTCCAATTCCAGCTGGCCCAGCTCCCCTGCCTTGGTCTCAGGGTAGGATGTCCAGGTGTGGTCCCTTCTTCCAGGCACCTTTCCTGCAGCTTCTGAGGGAGCTGGGCAGATGTTGCCGGCTTGTTGGAGATGGGCAGCTGTGTGTGCACAGAGCAGGAGCAGAAGGAGCTGGC